GCGTATGAGGACATCTCTCTTCTTTTAATCTCTGCCCCTTCAAGTCTGCTGGGGGCTTCTGGAGCCCTTAGGAAAAGCCCTTCCCCACACTCCTGCCACACTCCACATTTACCCACATCCAGATGTCTTTCTGGTACCATCTCCCTAGTCTGGCCACCGCTGAGGACTCTGGTGACCTGGTAACCGCTCAGCCCCATCTCTTCCTAGGGCTTGGGCTCCCTGACCTCTGGTACAGGTGATGGTACTTATTATCACTCTTCCTCAACCTCCTAGATGTGACCCATTTCCATCTCCATGCCTCTGCCTGTCCTCTTTCTAAATGTAGCTGTGATCAATGCTTCTGCCTCTCCATCCTCTTCTCTGTCCATCTTCTGGACTGACATCACTGACTCACTTTCCTGGCATCCACTGTCGTCCCAATATACATGACTTGCAGACACCTTTCTCATGATGGGCCTACCTGCCTCCTGGGTGTCTCCCTGAACAGCCCATGAGCCTTTTAGACTCAAGGTAACCCAGGGTTTCTCAGCCTTGGCACTGTCGACGTTTGGGACCTGATCATTCTCTGTTGGGAGGGCCGTCCTGTGCACTGTAGGATGTTGGACAGCATCCCTGGCCCCCACCCACTAGATGCCTATAGCACATCCCCTCCACAGTGTGACAACCAAAAGTATCTTCAGACATTGCCAAATGTCCCTGTGGGGACAATCTGCTCCAGCTGAAAGAACTGCCGGGATTGCCCAAATCAAACCATAAACTCAAGTGCTGGTGCTTGGCCAGTGCACACTCTGTGCCAAGAACAGGGCTGAACATCCTGCAAACAGCATCTCATCTATTGGTCATCTCCTCCACTTTATCTCTCTGCGGATGGAGGCTTACAGGGGTCACATGACTTGCCCAAGGTCGTGTGGCGGGAAGCCTACTCTCAGTGATTCCCCATCTTCAGGCCCCTCAACTTGCTCCTCCTTCCATGTCTCCATCTCTCTAAGGGCAGAGAGCTGGGCTGATACCCTCTCCTCTCCTTCTCTGTTCCCTGGAAAGCCGCATCCAGCTAGTCACCATTGCGGACATCCTCCACATTCCTAAAAAAATAAATAAGCTCCAATGTTTTTCCTTTCTTTGTTTTTTTTAACTACTTAACTTTTTTTTTAAAATCAAAGTATAGTCAGTTTACAATGTTGTGTCAGTTTCTGGTATACAGCATAATGTTTCAGTTATACATATACATACATATATCAGTTTTCATATTCTTTTTCATTCTAGGTTACTACAAGATATTGAATTTAGTTCCCCGTGCTATACAGAAATTTGTTTTTTTAAAATCTATTTTATATACAGTAGTTAATATCTGCAAATCTTGAACTCCTAATTTATCCCTTCCCACCCCCTTTCCCTCTGGTAACCATAAGTTTGTTTACTATGTCTGTAAGTCTGTTTCTGTTTGCTCAAATGTACTTTAAAACAAACCAACCAACAGGGGGCTGGGGCAGGGCTTCTCCCCTGCTCAAGCATGGGCCATGGCTCCCCATTGCTCACCAGATCAACCCTCAGCCACTTGGACTGGCCTTCAAGGCCCTGCATCCTTCTAGCCTCCTTGTCTCTCACACCCCAAGGCCAGGGAAAGCCACCTGACCAGCCACACCCTCCGGTTTCTCTGTGCCCGAGCCCCACGTCCTGCACCTGTTGAAATCCAACCTCTCCCTGAAGTCCCGGCTCAGATGTCACATCCCTCACGTGGCCTTGACCTCCCTTCTGCCTCCTCCAGCAGAGCAGCAGAGCTTCAATAATTTGCATTGCCTCTTCTTCACCTTGAAACACCGCCCCCTACCACCCTTGCCACCTCGTGAGAACTTCATGGAAATGAAGAAGGATCAAGAAATCATTCAAGTTTACCACCTGCTGGGGAAATGAGACATCTTATGCTTGTTTTAGAATCCCATCCTTCAAGCTTTGAGCCTTCTGCTTCTTGTTTTCTGGAATTTGGGAAAGATTAGTGCCCTAATATTTTCAAAACTCAAATTTAGAGATCTTCAGTCTCCTCCTCTGTCTTCGTCTTAATCCAGATAGATGGTTTTTGATCTTGAAATTTCAGCCATTGAAAATTATCTGTCACCATTTTTGCCTTAATTAACTAATACTTAAGAGTTTTCACTCAGTGCTCTTCCTTTTAAGCCTCATTTACTTTAAGCAAAATTTATATTGCTATTACTACATCCACGAGATTGCAGATTTGATGTTCAGGCCAAATATATATTTTTTCATCTACACAACAAAACAAATCTCTCAGTAGCGGGAGGGTATAGCTCAGTGGTAGAGTACTTGCTTAGCAGGCACGGGGTCCTGGGGATTCAATCCCCATGGGGGTTGAAAATAAATAAATAAAAACCTAATTACCTTCCCCCTAAAATTAAAAAAAATGAAAAAAAATCTCTCATTTAACATAAACACATAGAATAGAAAATGTTCCTCCAAGTGCGCATCTAAAATTACGGAGCTTAACAGCTAAGGGTAGTTGTATCACAATTTGAGAACCAGCCAGAGAAGTTTCTGTGAGGTTCAGACTTGTAAAAATTCATTCATTCATTCGAAATTTATTCTTCTTTCCAGCTTCACTTAGGTGTAATTGACAAACTAAAGTTGTGTATATTCGAGATGCACAACGTGATTCAACATTTATTCTTGTTGTTCGTGTTTCAGCCGGGGGCCTGATATCCAGCCTCACATTGTAGCATCCCCTGTTCCCCATCGCAAAACCCTGCGTTACAACCCTGCACTGGTGGAAATGTCTGTGTCTGTTTCCCCACTTGAATCTCAGTTCCATGAGGACAGGGATTTGGTCTGTTTTTATCCTCTGCCATATTCTCAGCATCTGAAACAATGGTTGGAACACAGTGGGCCCTCCACTCTTGCATGGACTAATTCTGAGCCAATCGCTGCCCAGTCCAGTGCCAGGTGATCCTGGGGCCCACCCCCAAGGAGACCCCAGTCTCAGGGAGAGACAGAGTCAGGATTTGCCTGACTGGAGATTGCGCGTGGACTGGGTTGGGAAGTTGCTGCTTTCTCTGAACTAGGACATGGAGTTAGCAATCAGGATTTGCTGGTGAGGGAGAAGGCTGGACGCTCCCCAGTGGTTAATGACAGCATTCAGCGGGAGGCATATAGCTCAGCGCTAGAGTGTATGTTTAGCGTGCATGAGGTCCTGGGTTCAATCCCCAGTACCTCCATCAAATAAATGATTAAATAAATAGACCTAATTTCCTTCCCCCTGAAAAACAAAAGTAAATAAATAAACCTAGTTACCTCCATAGCAGCAGTCAGCAATTACCTAGCGCTTACTGTGCTAAAAACAAAAGTGCTCCCCACACCTTGAAACAGGGTGTTGACTTTCTCCTGTGAGACGCTCACCTGTGTGTGTGTGTGTGTATGTGTGCACTGTAGAGTATTTGGCTCTGGTGTGTTTGGCAGCATCCCTGACCTCTACCCACGAGATGTCAGTAGCACCACAGCCCCTGGGGGTGATGACCAAATATGTCTCCAGACATTGCCAAACATTGCCAAATGTCTCCTGTGGGGGGTGGGTTGCAAAATTGCCTTGCGTCAGAACGAATGCCTTAAAGCACTGTGACAACCTTCTAAGGTGGGCACGTAGTAAGTAAGAGATGATGCCACTTGAACTCTCTGCCTCCATACTCTAACCATGATGCTCCACGGCTTTGCATTTGGCCTTGGTCCCTGGCTCTGTCCCCTGAGTGTCCAACACCACTCTGGGCCTGCTCCATCTCTTGGCCCTTCCACCAGGCTAACCAGACCTCTTGCCTGATTGGCCTCCAGAGTCAGGCCCTACCAGGCACTAAGTCTGTAACTGTAACTGTATCAAGAATTTATTTTTGAGAAATTTAAAGGCTTTGGAGTGATCATCCTGAGGAAAAAAATCTGAACTTCTTTGCCCCCTTTTCAGCTTGTTTATGGTTTACTGTAGTTTTAACTCTGGAACTCATTGAGAGAGGGGCATCATAGCTTCAGGCTTCCCACTGTCTGACCCGGCCCCTGCCTGAACCCGACAGTCACGTCTCTCCTTGAGCCTGTGCCTCAGTTTCCCTAGATGGGCCTGCATGGTCTGGGCCTTTGCTCTCTAGTCTTCAGTGGCTCCCCTCCCCTCACCCTTCGACAACTATTTTTGGGTGTCTGGTCTGTGCAAGGTCATTTGCTTGGCCCTGGGGACACAGTGAGGAGCTAGAGGTTAGCTGTGAGTCCTCCCACCTGTCTGCCCACTTGCCCAGGTCAGCCACCTGCCCATTCACCAGGGGAGTGGTATATCCAGAAGTGGGGCTGACTCTGGGCACATCTGGAGCAGATGGGCTGGCCAAGGCCAACATGCTAGTTGGAGGGGTCAAGGTGACTGACAGTGGGTGGCTGGAGTGGGAGGAGCAAAAACAGAGTCTGTGCTGCCTGTTGAGGCTGGAGGTGCTCCTGGAGGGAGAGGCTGCTGCTGGTTGCAGAGCCCCAGGCAGGTAGGTTGGACCCAGGATCCAGAGGGAGTAGAAGGGCTGGCTCCCAAGGGCTAGTGGAGTCTAAGGATTTCTGGGGGGGTCCCAGAAGAGGCTCCTGGAAGATGGTGGGGCACCAGGGGTGCTGGCTTAGGGACCCCTGTCCCAACTTGGGAGCAGACCCTGGATTGGAGGCCATCAGGGGTGTTGATATGGGAGGAGATATTAGTGGTCTAGCAGGGGAACTGGGCGCTAATGGGAACCAAGCAGGGACAGGGTGGCAGGAAGCCTGATGGTTTGGGGCCTCTGGGTGTCTTAAGTGTTTGTGTCTTGGCACGTCTCTTTCTCTGTCTCTGTGTCTTTCTCTCCATCTCTCCAGCTGTCACTCTCTCCAACTCAGTCTTCCTTTTTCGTCTCCACGTTTCTGCATCTCTGTCTCTCCTTTTCTCCATCTCTGGGGGCCGCGCCTCTGTCCCCACCCAGAGGCTGGCGAGATCTGGGGAGTGCCAGGGGCGGGCCTCTCGCAGCCGCAGGCCGGGCGGGGTTAAAGGGCCGGGTGGCCAGACGGAGCCGTCAGAGCTGAGGTTGCTGCTCCGGCTCCGGCGGATCCAGATCGAAGGCCAGAGGCAGAGATCCGCAGAGTGAGTGCCCCCGGGGTCGGGGGTGGGAGGGTGCTGTAACCTGAGCGTGGCCGCAGCCCTGCGGGGTAACCTGAGGCGCAGGAGCTCGGGTGCCGGTAGCGCGGGAGCGAAGGTCTGCGAGGCGGGGGCACAGGTGGCCCCAGGGATCCCCAGGACCCAGGACCGGACTGCCGGTGCTGGGCTCTCGTGTGTGTGTGTGTGTGTGTGTGTGTGTGTGTGTGTGTGTGTGTGTGTGTG